CCCCAAAACCCCAAAACCCCAAAACCCCAGATCATCTGGTGAGATTGAGAGACTATTAATCTGGATCAATTTTTAAGTTTTATAACAATTAATATGAGATTGCCAATATGAGAAATTGGATCTTGTCAAAATGAGTCTCAGGACTACATAGTTGACAAAGAGGTGTATGTATGCCATGCACATAAAGTAGCAAAATATTCGTCAGACGATTCTATCCACCTAATATCTCCAGAGTCTGTAGAATTGCTACTGAAAGTGATAGATCAATGCAGGGAGGAGGTACTAGTATCTTCTCAACTCCAAGGATATCTTGCTCCTGAGAGCGAATACAGGAAATTCGATACCTGTATGACAGAGGAAATAGAAGGCATCTCTTCTAGTCTCGAGACTGCCATTAGAACTAAGCAGTTCTTAAAACTAGAGGCTTTATTTCATGAAGCCAAGAAACTTGAAACCTCCATCATGAACGAACAATTATTCATCAAGCACTCAACAGTCAGGAGCTGGAAGAAGGCATTGGCTGTCGTAGATGGAACTCTCCAAAAGAATGGTGCACTTTTCGTCAAAGAACTTCGAGAAAAGTACGGCAATTTGTTCGAAACAACTACTAGCAATTTCAAGAACCAAAAGGATCGTATCCTCAAAGAAAAATCAGAACTTAGTATGAAGCTTTCTGAAGAGGCTGAGAGAGTCAAAGCTTTGGAGGAAGAACTAGTTGAACAAGAGAAGTCTTACAAACAAGAGTTGAAGACTCAAGAAATAGGATATGAAGAGAAGATAAAAGGACTGGCCATCATCCAATCCGAGTTAGAGCAAACAAAGCTGACACTTACCAAAGAAACTGAGAAAAAGAATCATGAAATATCTGAGCTTAAGGAAGATATCAAGAATAAATCTGACGACTTAAAAGGATCTCGTGAGCAAATCGAAGAACTCAAACAAAAAGATAAGGTTAATATTGAAAAGAACAATAACCTAAGAGAAAGAATCAAGAACTTGAGATTGCAATTTACTGAAGAGAAGAAAGCACTTGAAGACAGTCATAATGATAAATTGCAGCAACTTAGAAATCATTATAATCTCCAGCTTAAGGAATCTAGTGAGAAAAGTGAAAAAGATATCCAAGAAAAGCTAGCCATTTTTAATAATAAGTATCAAGAAAAGAATGACGTAATTCATAAACTAGAGAAGAAAGTGTCCAAACTTACTGAAGATCTTGATCAAGAAAGAACTGATCACCAGGCACTTATGACCACTCACACAAATCTCGAAAAGGAGAAACAAAGCCTCATGAAAGAGCATGCTAAGCAGGAAGATCTTAACAGAAAACTACAGGATCAGCATAAAACCCTTGCCCAACGAGCCAAAAATTCTGAGAATCTTCATAAAAATCAACTGGATAAAATACAGCAACGCCATCTTAAAGATGCTACTAAACTCGAACAAAATAATGCAGCGCTTGAAGAAGAGAGTAAGGCAAAAGATATCAAGATTCTTAAGCTAAGAGACGAGATTGAAGAGCTCATAAAGAAGCTAGACCATGCTCTTGAAGATAAGGAGCGCATCAAACTAAACCTCGTCTCTTCAATTCAAACTTACTCCAACCAAGAAGTCACTGATCTCTTAAAAGATTGTCGAGTTTATAATATATTTGGGGAGCCGATACAGTTTGATCAAACGTCTAACCTTCCTTTGGACCTCCGTAAGGGAAACCTTCAGGAGTTCTTAACCAAAATTAACAAAAGAATTCCAGATTGAAAATTCATTAGTATTGAATCCATCCCTGGAGAGAATGAAGTTGTTAAGACTTTCCTCAGCCTTTATTTCCCCAACAAGGTTGAACAGTTTTATTTTAATGACCGTTCAGATTTAAGTAGTTGTCTTTCTTTCTATATGACCGCACTGGAAGCATTGAGTTCGAAGGTTGAGGAAGAATTTGTGATTTATAATTTTGAGGTCAGCCAGCACCAGATGAAAACACTCTTAGCGAAATACAAACGCAAGAGACGGTTTGGATTTCTCTCCTGCAAACTAGCCCTGTCCTCGGTGCCTGACTTCGGAGGAGCTCTCCAAGGAAGTCAATTGAAAGCATTAGGTTTGAATGGTTGAGGAAGTAGTGATCTTGGAGATTGGAAGAACAACCCGGCCCACTTTGAAAACTTAATCGAGGGTTTGGCCAAGGAACAGGATTTTAAAGATAATTTGAAATGGATTGGGATGGAGGACTGAGGAATGGAAGAGAGTCAGGTTGAAGTGATTTTGAAGAAATACGAGTTTGGAGAGATTCAAATTGTTATGTAAAGAGATGAAAACAAGAAATAAGTTTTTAAGATAAAACTTGGGTTCTTTGAAATTAAGTCTTTGTTTAAAATTTATCATAAGTGGGTTATAGAAAATCTGGTTATTTCAATTGAAGAATAACACTGTGGGGTTTTGGGGTTTTGGGGTTTTGGGGTTTTGGGG